GACCCCTTACGAGGGATATGACGAAGCACAAACGACAGTACCGGCTTGCCACACCAGGAGTCCGCCGGTGTTATGCCCCGCCCGTGTTACCGGAACCGKTACAGAAYTCTCGAGAGAACAGTGCTCTCGTCACCCCGCCTGATGGCGATCCAGCGCGGAGGGCGAAAGCGGGAGCCAGGGCAACAGGTAGTCAGGGGAGCGGCACTGGCGCGCGGATGCGCGGAGATTCGCGGGGATGCGCGGGTGGGCCCGCACATGCCACGTCGTCCAATAGATAGCTGCCACCTCATGCGACGGATCGTCAATCTACTCAACTACCATACGAGCATCGGAACTSCCGACCGCGCTGCGCAGAGGTGGGACTGTTTTACTATCTACACTCAAGTCCCGCGACCGGTCGGTGGCTTCCTACCTGTGTCCCGCTGGACTAACGACCTATGGAGTAACCACACTCCTCGTAGATACTACCGGTAGCCAAACCTATCACCGTCGTTGCCTTGCCTTGCCTTGCCTTGCCTCGCCTTACCTTGCCTCATCCCTGCGCGTGTAACTACCCACAATCATCTCTGGTTAGCAAKCATCCACACTCGCCCGCTTTTCTTCCCCTCCTTCCCTGTCGTCCTGCGACTGTGCCCYAACTTCCTTCTCTTCTATACTTSTATATTCTACGTACCACTTCCGCCCGTGCCCTTTTTTTTTTTTTTTGGCCCGTGCCTTTTTGACCGGTAGGTGCCTATACACCTACCGGTAGCATGCGCTTGCGCGGCAACGATGGAGAGACAGAGGGACACGAGTTGAGATCTGTCTGGTTAGCCATCGTACTCGACCATTTTKWTTTTTTTAATTTTAGTTCAGGCCGAGAATCCACGACTCGTAGTGGATTGAATGAAGCTCCTGAATCCGGATGTGTTTTCAGCGGAGATGCRGCAAAGTAGATGAATCGCGRTTTTCTGCACTTGTKGGCAAAGAGGTCCACATTCGGGCATTAAATCCGATCCTCTTCGCTGGTGGGACCTCGCGCCTTAGTTGTTTTGGCTCACACCGACCGACACTCCGCAGGTCGGCAGCAGACGGCGTCCTCCTCCTTCGGTCGCTGGCCCCCCGTCCACAACTGGTAAACTGGAGTGGACGACCGGTCCAAGCGGACCGCAGGAATTCCGCACTCGCAAATCCCGCGGTTGCTGGTGGGCTGTACAGACTGGAGTGGACGACCGGTCCTAGCGCAGCGCAGGAATTCCGCACTCGCAAATCCTGCGATTCGGCGCCGCAGGGCATACTCGCAGAACGAAGGKGAGGGCTATTTCGACTAGGCTCTGGACCGTATTACGGCCACATGCATCGACGTACTATGCCGTAATTTGMCGTTCAATRCATTTAAGAATAAGAAACGTGCTATGCAAATTGGTAGTGTGAACACGCTCTCGCCGACCGCGCGATCGACGTGTTTCTGTGGCTGCTGGCGGGCGGCCGCGCGCCACCGAGCACGTGAGACCGATGGTGCCAACGCACCGCCGCACGCACSCCGTGAGTGCACCTGGTCATTTTTCATGTCCAGCTGCGTCCACTTTTACGCCTACCCGGAAAGGCGGATCCAAAMCCCCCCTTGGCAAGGTCCCATTTACACGAATTAAGCGATGTTGACCGTAGATAGCAAAGATCGACGGCCAACATCTCGTAATCCGTGCAAGTGGGACTTCGCCCCGGGGACAAGGTCCCACTTGCGCAAATTAGGAGATTTCGGCCGTTGATCTTTGTTATCAACGGCCAGAATCTCTTAATTCGTGTAAATGGGACCTTGCCCCCGGATTGTTCCCTCCCATCCGTTCCCTCTACCTCTGGCCACTTGATTTTTTTTATTATTATTTTTTTTTTAACAAATCTGGCTCCTTCTATTTGTGGGGAGCTGCACTTGCTGGAAAGCGGGTCCAGCGTCCCAATTGAAACAGATGAGGCCGGGGTCCTCACAGTCTGCCCGGGAGTAACAAAAAGGAAAAAATTCATCAATGCTGATAAATAAAAGGACAGCAGTAATCATTTCCACGACCATATCTAAAAAGTAGTAACTTGGTACATGAATGAAGTAGACTACAGTCTAACAGTGGATCCGATGACTGGTTGATCAGGGCAATATGTACTCCCAGTAAAGGGAATGTAACTGGGTTCCGAATGGGTGGGAGAGGATAAAAGAGCAGACAAGTGAGGATCAGGGGTTATTACTGGGATGATTGCACAGAAGGTCCGTGTAGAACAGTCCGTTGTTCTCAGATAGGTCCGCCCATTTGTAGGGCAAAGACCATTTGTGACGGAAGGCATGTCTTGCCAAGTCAGTTGAGGCTGAGGAGTTTTTAATTTTGTACCAGTCCGCTGTGATATCCAGGCGAATAGACTGTTTAACCTGCGCCAACAACGAAGGGAGAGAGGTGTGTTCGTTCAGGAACCGTCTGTCCCTTCTTGCTAGCCAGAGGTTCCAGAAAGMTCGTTTCCTGAAGTGTTGGGCCACTTCGCCCAATTAATGCTTGTGGAAGCGAGAACTGAGTCTGCCAGTCACAACGTAATCTTGGTTCGAGAAGTCCGGTACTGTGTAGGCCTTGTACCACCATGAGTTTAGCTCGTCCCAGTATCCTCTGGCAATGA